CTGAGCCTTGTTGAACCTCATTCAGTTGGCCCCGGCCCAACGATCCACCCTGTCCAGGTCCCTCTGCGGGGCCTTCCTATCCTCCAGCAGATCAACACTTCCACCCAACTTCATGTCATCTGCAAATTATGAACAATTGATGTCATCTGCAAATGAATTATGAACTTGGTGTCATCTGCAAATTATGAACAATTTAAAGGCAAACTGGATGCCTGCATCCCTTTGTCCGCTTCAAATAAAGCTCTGTGCGTTTATGCGCATGCTGGGTGGGGTGCACAGGGTGGTTCAGGGGTGCAGCAACTCCATCCCAAAAGCGCCCGGAGCTGGATGGCTGGGATATCACGGTGCTACCAATCTGTGAGATGAGATGTGCGCGTTTGCACGGAGGCCAAACAGGAAGGACCAGTAAAACGCGTGCGGGTCATGCTGACAGCCTGTCCCACGCTCCCAGTACCTTTCCAGTTAGAGCAGGGAATAAACACAATACCCACCTGCAACACAACCCGCCCGGCGGTGCATATCTACTCGGGGGGACCCTTTACATCGATCCACATTAAAAACAAGAAGGGGAAAAAAAGGAAGATGCTGTTTAAAAAGCAGATTCTGAGGTTTTAGCGGTGATCAGCAGCACCTCCACCCTGACCAAGAAGGGAGGGGTCTTGCCTCCAACCTCAGTGGGTGCTTCAGAGAAAGCAGTCAGAGGTGGCAGCTGGGAAGCAGTGAGGTTACATGGGAGCTTCCCTCCTGCCCCGCTGCTGGAGGTTAGCTGAGCCTTGACGCAGCAGGATTTACCTTCACCGGTCTTGTTCCTGAGTCTACCGGGCTCTTCCCGATTCTGCAGAGGCTACAGCTGTAGCATGGGGCCCTGCTGTACCCCACATGCAAAGCGCATTGCTGCAGTTAGGGATAAATGTCCCCCTTGCCATGGCACTGCTCTGCCTGCCGCTCTGCCGGCCTGAGAAATAGCAGGACCCTCCCTAAAATCTCTGCCCTCAATCAAAAAAGCTCACTCTCCAGCACCCAGCTCATTTCTCTCGTCTGACGTGAACGGGCTCCTCCCGGGCTGATGCAGTCCCTACAGCCAGGCAGCACGATGCTCCTGGCGCGGCACGTTTTACAGCAGAAGAGCTGGTTGCATGGGGCAGGCTTCCCAGTTCTGCGCCCGCCTGCGTCCTTTCCCAGACTTACTGAAACTGCCTGCTTTACAACAGTAGCGGGAGTGGTAAATTGAAGAGTCATAGCATGCCAAGAAGATTCAGGGATTATTTCTACTCTGTGGCTTCCCAATGACACACACACAACTTTAAGAAATCCCTTAAAAATGGCTCCTTCAAAATAACCTATATACATCACTGGCCCTAAAGACGACACAGGATGAAATGCGAATCCTTAAATTCCAGCCTAGCAGAGCATCCAAGTGCACAGCAAAGCCAAGACAAACACAGCACTGCTCTCTCCTGAACACGTACGTGGTTTGAAAATCTCCGTTGTTGCTCTATCCCAGATAATGATTCATCCTCCCTGCGGGGTTTTGACTTGCCTCCGCACGTTTCGCAACACTGCCTGGCTTTATAACAGCGTGGTTGCACGCGGTGACTCCTAGCAGATTTCTCGGCTCGCTTGCGAGCAAGGAGGCGGCAGCTAATCCTTCTAACGATGATTTTCCTCTTGCAGCATTTCTTCTTGCTGGCCATAGACTTATTACTCGCGATGACCCTTTCCTGCCTCTTTTATGCCTTTGTATGCATTTCCATCGCATTTTTGACCTGCTTCATTATCATCTTCTCCTTCGGCATCGTGGAGAGGAATATTGATGTGAAAGGGAGAGCCATTGTAATTCTCGTGTCCAACAGCTCCATTGGGAGGATGTTTGCAAGGAACCTGGATAAAGCAGGTTTCAGGGTGTCCACTGCACACTGGCCTCCTCAAGAGGAGGGGATCGCTACGGAAGAAGAGCGCTCTTCAAGCATGGAGGTAGCCCAGCTCCACATGACTGAAGATGAGTATCAGAAGACAATGAAAACCTTCATAGAAAGCCACTTATCCCTGAAAGGTAATTTTTAGGGCAAACTTGCGGGTTGTGCCTACAGTAGAAATCAAAATGCACAAGATTGTGAGATCATTGTAGTTCACTAGCAAACGAAGGAGGCAAGGATGCTTCAGGAAATGGGTTGTAACACACTAACTGCATTGCATTTGGTTGTACAAAACAAAAGTTTTACTTTTTCCAGGGGAAAGAGCCTGCTCTGGTGGCTGTGAAAGCCCCCAGTAGACCCCAGTCGCTGGAGGAAGGCAAGGTAGGCCAAGGAATGAGGGGGAGAAGGTCCCACCAAGGCACAGAGGGCTGGACTCACTCTGGGGAGAAAACAGAGATGAACAATGGGGAGCAGAGACTCAAACAGTGACATGAGATGAAGGAATGTGTCTGATTTTTAACATCTTCTGGATTAAAAAACTTGAGGTCCCTCTTGGCTTCTTGCCTCCTGTGGGATTCATAAGAAACAGCCAGCTCAGAGCTTTGGCTGGCAGGTTGGGACTGTCTTTCTGAACCACACTGCCATCATTTCTGCGGGGATACGGGACTGAAAGCAACCTGCAGAGCTCACCTGGGACAGCACGAGGCAACCGCCCCACTGAGGGGATGGCTGTAAGCACTTCTGCTGGGGAATCTCCCCGGTTCTTTCTGGGTGCGAGATGAAGGGTGCCAGCGGGCAGGGTGGCTTATGCCCTAGCTGAATTAGCTCTGCTATCCAGGAGTCTCTGTCCTCGCAGCCATAATTTTACACCTCTTGGGAGTGACAGAAAATTCAGCCTCAGCCATCAGGGCTGTAACCTCACTGCCTGCAGGGCTATGGAGAGAAAAGGCCAACCCTCTCCTCCTCTGTGAGCCTTCCTAAGGCACATCTGAGCAGTGAAGCTCTCACTGCTTCCCCATGCTGTCTCCTTCCTTCTCCATCCCTCTTCCCCCTTGCTTTTCTCTCTGTGGTTTCTCTGAGGCTCCCTTTGAGGTCTCCCCTGGGCAGCCTTTCTGCTTGCTCACACTGAGCCGAGATCTCTGAGAGCATCCACATCTCACCATGGCAAATAACAAGACCCTTTGCATTGCTGCCCAGCACTGAAAGTTTTCTTTGTGCTCCCAGGGTCTGCAGAGGAAGGGCATTTGGGAAGGCAGAGCACGCATCACGAAGCCTCCCCTACTGCAGGCACCCTTCAGAGAGGTGGCAGGGAACCCCAGCCAATACCTGCTGCTACCTGCAGCTACTCGGGACCCAACGGCACAGGTTATCTCACATTGCTTTTCTCCTCAGAAGCACCCAGCAGACCAGAAGTGCCTGTGGTCGGATTCTGTGTGACTCTGCATGGCCCGGGATACGTCCCCCCGTTCACTAGCAGCCTGCAGGCTCCAGGAACGGGTGCCCTGCACACCAACAGAGGGTTTCAGACCAAACGCTCAGCTGCCTGCATGAGCATTTAGGCTAATTTATGCTAGTAAAATTATTCTGGTAAACTTGCCTGTGTGGACAAGGCCTAAAAGCTCCTAAAGCTGAGTGTCAGCATACTCCTGCTCTGGAAGTGAACAACGGAGACTTTCTTAACCAGTAATGCTCCGTGGGAGCTGGTGATTTCTGTGGGCCTGTGCTGTTTTAATTAAATGAGGATCCGGCCCAGTCATATCTGTCTTTTTTGCTTTTGAATACTTTGATCACTGTGCTAGTTAAGGGCTTTTGCAGGTTTTTTGGGGGTTGGTTTTTGGGGTTTTTTTGTTTTTTGTTTTTGGACAGGATACTGTATTGTAGGATCATGTGAGGTTTTACATTCAGGATCTCCTGTACATCACAGACAGGGATGTTAAAATATATTTCCCAAGCGCTGACCCAATTGCATGGCAGATCAAAGCACTGTGTCAGGAGGGGGTGGGGAGGAGGAAAAAAAAAAAAAAGAAACCTCACAGTTTTCTTGGACTTCTTTGTTAACAGTTTCGAGTGAGTGCTGGTATTTATTCTGCAAGATTTGCTGCAATATTTCTGGCATGGGTTGGGTGAACATGAACACCTGCCACCAGCTGACTGATAATAAAACGATTTAAAGCAAATCAAAAGACTACATTGGTAGGTCCCCACATGCGAGATGCAGTTTGGTCAGCAGGATCTGGACAAGGAGAGGAGAAGAGAGTTTGTGCTGCAGGGACAAGACATGGCAGAACCATTATACAACTTTCTCAATTTAAAAATTTCTCTTACGCACTTTATGTGTATGGAATTTTTGTTTTCCAAAGAAAGGAACTTCTGTGCTAGTTTTTGTGATTTTTTTTTTTTTTAATAACTTGTCCCCACAGGAAATTTTTACCATTATATCTTTGCTAGTGTAAGAAAAAAAGACACTTGTTTGATACAAACACAGCTTTTGAAATGCATCCTAAATGCCTTTCAAAGTACTACAATGGAGACAGGACCCCCTAGTCACGGTTCCTTCTAGAATTAAGAGACTTACAACAACTAAAATCATCTATTTTTTATTCTAGTACAGGCCCAAAGACCCAAATTTTCAGGTAGGCTAACGCCTTTACTTTGTGGTGGCGGTACAAATGAATAAGGTGCTATTAGGTCTAAAGAGATTGTAATACACAGATACAGAGAAATGCAAGTCAGCCCCCTTCCAAATTCATAATATGTTTTGTGATAACTTAACCTGGTTCATAAAAAGTCTTGGGTTCTTTTTTGGTGCCTTTAGATCAGATGTTTATACTTTCACCGTGACCAGGAGGTCAAAGTGATAGGGTGAAAAAGGGGAGAAAAAGGAGTCTTAATGCTCACCTCCGGTAGCTGAGCTTGTACTGTCAAATATTGCAAGAGCTCTTGGCATCGTGTCCAAGTGCTCTGGGATCGAGCTGCTTGAGAAATTACTGCACCGTGTTGCTCTTTGGGCACGTTGCCTGGAAATGCTGGCAATCGCTTCATGACTTTCAGGATTGACTGCAGGGAGGGTGGGGCAGGGCAAGGAGGAAAAAACGTGGAGATGGGCAAGACCCAACAGACAGCAACCTGACCCGACTCACGAAGAGTTCAGACAACCAGAGTGCCGGTCTGATTAATTGCTGTAGCCTCTGTTGCCACAGTACCTCGGGGTTCACCTAATCACACACACGAGCACGACAGACACAGGGCTAAGTGAAAGCAGTATTTACTGTGACATGCCCAAAGACTGTTTGCCTTGGGCTTTGCCAAGAAGAGCAAGCCCCAAAAAGCTGTCAAGTGACCCTGCCCTGCAAGCCTGCATGGAGTTCATGTCCCCAGATTAAATTGCCAGGACAAGACAGAACAGAGAAACTGCTGTTTCACATCTGGTGTCAGCCTACTCATGGTTTAGAGATTATTCGAACTGTGATTTTTCTTTAGCTGCACCCAAAACACTTCCAAGTACCTTGAGAGATCCTGTCTTCTTTTGGTGTCTTTAATATCCCTCAGGTCCTTCCGTGCTCCAGGCTGAGCTCTGCCAACCTTTATAACATCTGTGAGTCTGTAGATCACCACTGAAGTGCATAGAGCAGCCATGATGGCAGAGCAGTTGGGGGACCTACCGCCCTTCCTTCCTACCCTTGCTCCAGAGACCGCTCAAAGTTAGTTTCCCACTACCTTGCCAACACTTTTCTCCACTCTTCTTCTCCCACTCCTCACAGTATGTCATACTGTGCTACCAACCATCACTCATCCCAGTTGTTTCCACCTACTTTCCCTTTCCTTGTTTTTCTTCCATTCCTCTGTAATGCCTCGGGTTTCTGCAGGGGAGATGATACTCGATGTGAGCAATGCTTCTGGCTGCACAGCACAGCCTCCCTCTGTTCATTCCAGTTTCTGCCATGCTGAAGTTGCTTGCAGTAGTCCTGCTGATTTTCATAGGGTCTGGATTTCATTTCTTGTACCTGAATCTCAGCTAAGACATGGCCACTGCTAGATTCTTTGATACTTTATCAGCTTCCCTCTGTACCTATCTGTTAAATAGGAAGGACAATGCTTTTTTCCACAGGTAGAGAAATAACTGATGCAAATTAATAACGTGAATTCCTAAATTCCCATATCTGAAAGCCTCTTTCTCACCCCGCACTTCACCATGGTGTTTCAGAGCAGTGGGAAGTGCTTGTTCTCAAAATTTTGTTCCGAGGACTTCAACGGGCCTGGAGAAAGCTCCCCGTGCAGACAGCTAGACCAGTGGGAGATAACGGACTGTCATCCTTGGCCATCTGTTCTCATCCCCATGATGCTGCTGGCAGAGTGGCTCTTATGACCTCTTCCTAAGTCAGTCCAGGCAAGATCACCTGGATCATTTGATCAATTTAAATAGGTAGGTTTAGTTAATCCAGCTGATTCCTTTCTTCTATACATCAATGGGACACTCATGCAATCTGTTCTGTGAGCAGAGCTGGGAGGGCAGTAACACCAGCAGTGGCAGGTATAGCTAATCCTGGGCCAGGAAGGGTGTCCGCAGCTGCGGTTGCTTGCTCAAGGCTGTGTACTGAGATGCTGGCAGGACTACAGAGCATGCTGAAGCATCAAGGCTTTTAGCAGCCCCATGGCCTCTTGGACAGTCTCCACCTCTTCTAAAGGTCAAGCTCGTTTTGAAGTTCTGTTCTGCAGAGGGTAGCAGTGGTAGATGCTCTCCTGGTGCTTTCATTTGCCTCGCACCTCTCCCTCAGCATCCACCTCCTTAGGTTAGTCATACAGTTTAGTCCATGGAGGCACCCTTGTGACCGAGAGATCCAGGAAGCGAGACCCTATGGTGGGCCTGAACAGGAGACAGAGACATTTGAACCACTGCCTCATGTGGTGGATGCACTGTAGAAATTCTTTTGCTTCCTAAGGATGCCAATATGGTTGATCAAATTATTAGAAGGTAACCCTTCCTCGCTCACTTTTCCACACTACAGTCACCTCAAGATAAAAGGCTAGGCCATATAGTCATTCCTAAACCCCCAACAGAGGGAAAGTTCAGTTTTCTTTTGCGACAGTATAGCTTAGTGCGTGGCACGAGCAAGGAAGAGTCACAACTACCTGCCAT